TTTTAGAAAACTGAATTTGACGTTCCGAATTTCTTCATCTTGAAAACTTGAATCCGTATTTTTTTAAACTGAAATTTTGCAGTATTTGAATTCAGAACACAAAAACTAGCTGTTTGAAAATACATGTCTATAAAATTCAGCCATAAAAACCTTTCAGTTTGTTAAATTTCAGATGTTCAATATTCGTTCCAAAAAAATTCAAATTCAGAACTATTTAAAATTCAGTTTTGTTAGATTACACTTGCAAATAATTCAAATTTACACAATTCAAATTCAAATCATTTTGTCATATTATTAGCTCCATAAAAATCCTCCACACAATTGAATTGAATTTCCTACCGTTTCGGAGAGTAATATTTCAGCACATGAATCTGCCAGTCGTGGGTCTCTCCTCGAGTGTTTGCATAATGATGCATTGAAAAGACCAAAATTATTTTTATAGAAGTTCACAATGCAGTTGCAGATGAAATATAATGTGGACGACATTGAATAGATGTATTTTCGTCAGGTTAGATTATTATTCACTCAAACCCCTATAATAATAAAGAATAAATAAAGAAAAAAATAATTGATTCCTGTGATCAAAGCTGAATATTCAGCATCATTACTCCAGTCTTCAGTGTCACATGATCCTTCAGAAATCATTCTGATGTGATGAACTGATGATCAAGAAACATTTCTGATTATTAATAATGTTGAAAAAAGTTGTGTGTTGTAATTTTTGGGGGAAAACCATCATCATTTTCTCCCCCAGGATTCTTTGATTAACAGTGAGTTCAAACCAACCGCATTTATTTGAAATCAAAATATTGTGTGACATTATAAATGTCTTTACTGTTACTTTGATCAAATAAATAGTTATTGCTGAATAAAAGTATTAATTTCATTTTTTTTTAACTCACTGACCTAAAACTTTTGAATCGGTAGTGTATATGGTAATCATCTAATACTATGGTAAGGTCAAAGTACCATGGTATTATACATTTATTATTTATTTATTTAAAAATTATTACTTTTTATCACATTTTGTGTGATCTGGAATGTTTGGCCATTGTCACAGTATTCTCATAAAACGCATGGATGCATTACAGTAATAAAAATTTAATTGTAGTTAAAATAATGTTACAACGCAAAAAATCTAGAAGGTCCTAAAATAGGCCTGGTTTGCTTAATGCAAAATATTATTTCTTATTTATTTATTTTTGATGGTTGAATGTGAGCTGGGAATGGTTTTGTGAGGTTCATATATTAAAACTGCATCACAATTGGTGCTATTATAATTCCATCACAGTCCTCACAATCTTCACTAGGGCCTGAGCCGAGGGAGGGACTATAAAGAAGAGTCTCCAGCATTTACAGACGAAAGCAAGGAGAATGCGGGATGCTTGACTGATGGAGTGAGCACTGGGAAATATATCTGACAGAATACATTACTGGCCACTTATTAGAGATTCTGAACGTCGTAGGGAGGAGGCAAGTACTTCATATAAACCTAACCTTAAGGTACATACATACCCTCATGAACATAATTAAAATAATTATGTGTGGAGTATAATATGAACTGTCCTGGACTACTTAATGTTTACCAAATTATTTTTTTTCTTAAATAATTTACAATCAATCAATCAATCAATAATATAATTTTTTTTCTAATATAATTACATTTAGGCATTTGGAAGTGGATAATAATAAACAAATATTAAGAAAAAAATAATAATTAAATAAAAATGTGTTAAAAAACATACAATTGTAAATCAATTTTTATTTAAATAATAATATATAATAAATGAATTATATATATTTGTAATTCATTAATTATAGTTAAAATAATTAAAGTGGAATATAATATAAAGAACTGTCCTGAACTACATAATGGTTACTAAGCTAATTTACATAAATTAATTAATTATTCAACATTAGCATACATTAAATGTGTTCATTTTAATGGCATTTTTTTGCCAAAGTGAATTTGTTTACAAAAATGATTTGACAAATATAACTAAATAAATAATCTCAATGAAGGATTTTGGTCAAATACATTATAGTTATTAACGTTGATCATTCTTTAAAGCGGAATAGGTCATGGACGACACAATGCATTCACAAGTATTTAAACAATGTGATGAAGGAAACTATTTTAGCATGCTACAAATAACACATCTCTGTAATTTCCCACCCTCTACTCTCACCGTAAATGCATTCATCTTCTTCCCCCGCTCTTTTTCTTGATTACCTGTGATTTAACCAAGTTCGGAGTTATGTCTGCCTCATTATGCTAATGAAAGCTTTTTCTGGTTGCGCTCCATGCTTGGCTAGCAGAATGCGCTGAAGTGCGAGAGCAGGAATCGGGCTCTTCCCTGCTGATTCGGCATGCCATCAGCATCCTGTCCCGCACAATATAATGATCAGGGCCCAGGTGACACAGAGACACAACCAGCATACTAGAGATCCAGCCACGTATGCTAATGTTTCAACGCCCACTCGTCAAGCACGGCGCAGTGAGGGAAGCGGCGTAAAAGTTTACAAGGGGGTGTTGCAAACAAGAGAGAACGCAAACAAGAAAGGACAAGTTGCTATGGTAGACAGTGATGGACAGGCCCAGACACAATCTGTGGACCTTATCCACATTCTTCAATGTAGAAATCGGAGGAATTTCAGTGGAAATGATTTAAACATGCTGAGAATACTACATTACACAAGCTAAAAGCATGATCAAATTAGACAAAATACACTCACCTAAAGGATTATTAGGAACAGCATACTTATACTGTGTTTGACCCCCTTTCGCCTTCAGAACTGCCTTAACTCTACGTGGCATTGATTCAACAAGGTGCTCAAAGTATTCTTTAGAAATGTTGGCCCATATTGATAGGATAGCATCTTGCAGTTGATGGAGATTTGTGGGATGCACATCCAGGGCACGAAGCTCCCGTTCCACCACATCCCAAAGATGCTCTATTGGGTTGAGATCTGGTGACTGTGGGGGCCATTTTAGTACAGTGAACTCATTGTCATGTTCAAGAAACCAATTTGAAATAATTCGAGCCTTGTGACATGGTGCATTATCCTGCTGGAAGTAGCCATCAGAGGATGGGTACATGGTGGCCATAAAGGGATGGACATGGTCAGAAACAATGCTCAGGTAGGCCGTGGCACTTAAACGATGCCCAATTGGCACTAAGGGGCCTAAAGTGTGCCAAGAAAACATCCCCCACACCATTACACCACCACCACCAGCCTGCACAGTGGTAACAAGGCATGATGGATCCATGTTCTCATTCTGTTTACGCCAAATTCTGACTCTACCATCTGAATGTCTCAACAGAAATCGAGACTCATCAGACCAGGCAACATTTTCCCAGTCTTCAACTGTCCAATTTTGGTGAGCTCTTGCAAATTGTAGCCTCTTTTTCCTATTTGTAGTGGAGATGAGTGGTACTCGGTGGGGTCTTCTGCTGTTGTAGCCCATCCGCCTCAAGGTTGTGCGTGTTGTGGCTTCACAAATGCTTTGCTGCATACCTCGGTTGTAACGAGTGGTTATTTCAGTCAAAGTTGCTCTTCTATCAGCTTGAATCAGTCGGCCCATTCTCCTCTGACCTCTAGCATCAACAAGGCATTTTCGCCCACAGGACTGCCGCACACTGGATGTTTTTCCCTTTTCACACCATTCTTTGTAAACCCTAGAAATGGTTGTGCGTGAAAATCCCAGTAACTGAGCAGATTGTGAAATACTCAGACCGGCCCGTCTGGCACCAACAACCATGCCACGCTCAAAATTGCTTAAATCACCTTTCTTTCCCATTCTGACATTCAGTTTGGAGTTCAGGAGATTGTCTTGACCAGGACCACACCCCTAAATGCACTGAAGCAACTGCCATGTGATTGGATGATTTGATAATTGCATTAATGAGAAATTGAACAGGTGTTCCTAATAATCCTTTAGGTGAGTGTATACTATAGAAAGAGGATATATAAAAAATTCTGGTATGCATGTATTCAAATGCATTTAAAATGCACTTTTTCACTTTTTTATTTATGAATTAAAATTGGTGGGACAGAAATGTCAGGGTGAATCCTTATTGAAGGGTTAGTTCACCCAAAAAATGTTATTATTAATTTACTCACCCTAAAGCTATCCCAGGTGTTTATGACTTTCTTCTTTCAGCCAAACACAATCTGAGTTATATTAAAAAATATCCTGGCTCTTCCCAGCTTTATAATGGGAGTGAATGGTAACTGAGATTTTGAAGGCCACCAAAGCACATCCATCATTAAAGTGCTCCACACGGCTCCAGGGGGGTAACAAAGGCCTTCTGAAGCGAAGCTATGCGTTTCTGTAAGAAAAGCATCCATATTTCTAACTTTATAAACTATAATAACTGTCTTTCGGTGTTGGCCGTACACGAGTCGAGTTCCGGCGGAAGAATAAACTTTGTGATTTCAATCATACAGTAAAACCCCCACACAACAAATCTTTTTCTTGGATTTAGGCAATTAATGTGGGTCATAGGCCTTCGTTTCAGGTTGGAAAACCAGCAAATCCATATAAATATGAAAAAAAATCACATCCCTGAATATAGTTTTTTGTCTTGCTCCCATGCATTTATTTACGTTGTGGTAACAGATCCCCTGAATTTCCTTTCAGTGTTGACACATCTTCATATTGACCTCTACGGTTCAAATGGTGTATCACAAACTAATAATATGACTCAAACAGATCCATATGGGCACACATGTGCAATTCTCAAAGTCTACCAGCTGAAAAGTCCCCGAAACCCCTTTAAAACCATCAAACTCCACCATCCTGACCAGCTTGGTGGTCAGCCAAGAACAGCAAACCACCTTAGACAGGTTTATGCTGGGGTTTTTTGCTGTTTTTTTTCCTCAGTCAATAGCACTCTCACATAGTGGTTTGCTAGAGCCTTTATCTATAGGGAGTTTTTGTATTATGCTGAGAGACTGCTGAACGCTATGAACTGTGTCTTATGTGGGTGTATTACCTGTGCTTGCGCCTCCATTCGAGCGTACTGCACCAGCATCGGCTCTCCGTGCTTCTGCATGAAGTCTCTCTGACAGCGCTCCGCCAGCGCCGGCTCATTGGGGAGAAAATTACTGGCCCAAACCTGGAGATAGAAACAGGAATAGCATGAAGACGTGAACCTTGTGTGGGAAGTCTCGCTAATCAGACTCTGTAGCCACAGATAAAACCTTCAGAAAAGCTGTCAGGGACACACACACAAAAACATCCCCCCGTAGTAAAATAATGCTCCCTTCCGGCTATAAAAATAACTAACGGCAGGCCTGTATTTAACGTTGTATTTTCCCAATTAATAGCGAAGCATGTGGCCAGCGAAGCACAGAGTGCATGGAAACCCGATCCAATTATACTTCGCAACTAGTGGAGTTGGTACTTGGCGATAACATTTCTCTCATCGTTAGCCTTGTAGAGATGATTTAGGGATGGCGATTGGAAAAGACACTTTAAAACATTCATCTTTCCAGGCGCCGAAGACTGTTGTTGCTGCCCAGAGAGAGTTCTGACAACACATCCAATACATCTTCAACACAAAAAAAGGGCGGTAAGAGAGATTCAGTTTTTCCGATTCGTTTTTCCTCACCACCAGAGCTCCCACAAGAGCTCTCCATTCACGTATCTTCCTGAGGATAGAAAACGCGGCCATTATTCACTCCTGAGACAAATGAGATTTTCTGCATATAGGGATCTAGAGTTTTAGGGAACTCAATTTCAGCAATTTAATCTAGTGCCACGCATGCCCTCGGAAGACTCTCAAGGGTCTTTACCATGAATTTAGCACTGAATTGTTTGCAATTCATAGTACATCGAAATCAGTCCGCAGTAATCACACACAAAAAAATCTCCCTTCCAGCTATAAAAATAACTAGAAACGCAAAGCAGGCCTGTATTTAACATGCCAGTGAAGCACAGGAGCTGATCATACTTTGCAACTAGTGGAGTTGGTACTTGGTGATAACATTTCTCCCATGTTTAGCCTTGTAGAGATCTATGATATCCAAATATGTGTGGATGTATGTATCTGTGCACGCTTCAAAAGCTAAGCCACAACAGAAGCTTGTAAAGGTTCTCTTAAAAGTTTTTAAGTTTGGATTTGGAGACTGCAGAGAAATAACCCGCTGAAACCCCCTGCCGTTTGGGGAGGATATGGTAAAGAAGGTAATTGAGAGCATATTGATGTATTGCATGGTAACACCTCTCAAGTCTAGTTCAAATAAGTCGCAAAACACAAGGAAAGTAGGGTGCGCCGGGGCTAAAGCTGCACCGGGGTAAAAGGCGCTTTTGATTTATTTTTCTCTGGACCACTAGATGGCACAAAAACTTGCCGCGAAGGTGATTCTGTGTTAATTTGATCTAATATTTGATGTTTTTTTAAATTGTTGTGGATCCAAGATACAAATGAGAATCGCTAAAATTATTTAAAGCGACATATTTTAAGACAAAGGTCTTCATCATAGGCGGAGTTTGACATTCGAGCCGGGGGGGGCAAAAAAAAAAAATCATTGTAGCATTCATTCATTCATGTAGTAATCATTAGGCGCGTTTCCATTACAGATTTGCGCAAAACTTTTGCGACTTTTTCTAAATGTCGATAAAAAACTATTGCGAAATGACGGCGTTTCCATTAACCGATGTTATGCGACTAAAATGTATTTTTTTCCTCTCGCGATAAGTCATTCCAAAAATCATGGTAAACGGATGTTGGTAGGTTTAAAGCCTAGGCTATATCACAGCCACCGCACTAGACATTATTATTATTAATGGAAGAAGACGTGGTGTTATCCAAGCATTAATGGCAGACCCTTATACTGCGAACGGCACATATAGCCTAAGAGTTCCTGGCTGTTTCTCTCTCATTTCTGCTCCGAGGTCTTGATTGTGGCATTTCTTTGAGGTTTAGAATCCAGTATTCCTGTAATTATTGTTTCTTTTATGAATTTAATAAAGAACTCTGTCTCGTATTATGTCCAAACGGTCAGTGTACTTTTGTGTCCATTCGTTTTTCCTTATTTAACCCGTAATTGCAAAACGAAAAATAAACGGTTGTATTTTTAAAACGCAAAGTCGAACACCAAAATTTTAATTTGAACTGCTACACACCAAATGCTGCGCAAAATAAATAATATGGACGAATTTTCAGATTTTTGTTTATGACTTTTTGCCCCTTTATTAAACATTTAAATATTGACAAATTGATATGAAAAAAAAAAAAATGTAGATTTAACTGGTTTTCTAAGGCCAAATTAGAACCTGGAAATTATATTTTTCCCGTAGTGCTGAATGAGAAGATAACCACAGGCTACAGAAAGGGGATTTATAGGTGAGTTATAGGCTATAATAATAAATAAATGTGTCTGAAAAAATAACAAGGCATTTTAATTGTTTATTAATAAAAAATCAGTGTCGGCTAAAACATATCTCCATCTCCGCTGTAAGGGGGATGCACCTTTAGAGAGAAATGCACCTCTCATACGGATTACATAATCAGAAGTATTAGCTTTCGATTCGAATTTGTTCGTTTTAAAGTGGACATTTCAAGCTTTAGCTTAGGCTATTTTGTTTCAGTTATAGCGCTTCAGTTCACGGAGACCATGAAGCGCGCCTGATTGTTTTATTTAATTTTACAAAAGCACAACGTTTTCTTGTTATTGTTTGTGAACACAAATAAAAGTAGTTGCGAATAATGTATTATTATTTTCTGTATGACCAGAAATGATAGAGTAGGCTAGCCTATTTTAAGTTGTTTTCACTGTTGATAGGAAAATGCAAGTGTTCGCGCCCGCGCCCCGCGCCTCCGTGCCATCCAGTGCACGCTCCACATTCCGCACACACACTTGGATATGCGTCAAAATCTTGTTTAGCCTATTTGTGATCATCTTAGCCCTGTATTATGAATGATATGTGACGAATTGCTTTGTTCCTTTTTTTGATAAGCGTCTTCTACATATGTAGCCTAATAAATGTTATAATAATGATGATAATTATTATTATTATCCCCGCGTCTTCTCTAAGTCAGCTGACTGTAAATGTTTCCATTGCATTTTTTTTTTTACTAAAGCAGTATATAAAATCAGATGTGTATTACCTACCACCATTTAGTTGTTTTGTGTTATTTAAAATATTTATAATATATATATTTTTTTAACAATGCAAAAAAAAAAAAATTTAAACGGGTTTCAGCCACCATGGGGGGGGGGGGGGGGGGGGCAATGCTCCCCCTGCCCCCCGCAAACTGCGCGCCTGGTTTTCATAATGATTTTCAGTTTTGTTCTAGGTAATTAAAGCAAAAGTTTTCCAATAACGGTAAAAATATGTAAAAGTATGGTATTTGGGGGTAAAAGGCGCCCCTGCTGTCGGGGCGAAAGGCACGATAATTAACATAACAATAAACAGCCGGGCCGGCTGACTTTTCAATTTGTTGACATGGCATGGTTAGATTCAGTTGGTAAATATGGTACACGATATGCCTAAAACGGAGAAGTTTTCCTACAGACATTGTCTACAGACATTGTCAAAACGATCCACATTCACACGGATCCGCGAAAACAACTAAAAACGCTGTATTCTGCTGCCAGGCCATTAGATGGCGATGAAACACTATAGACTGAACACGTAATACGCATTTGCATGACGTCATCGTCTTCTGAGATTCACGTTCTTGACGTTTGCACAGAGACCCGTTTTCAAAAGTTTGCGTATTTAAGCACCCAAAACGCCGTTGTCGTGTAAACAAACGGCCAAAGCGCATAAAAAGTTTTACGTTTTTAGTTAAAAACAGTGTTGTGTAAACAGCCCCTCAGAGATATTCTGTCACGTATGGTTGAGCAGCCTGTTCTCACGTAAATGCGTCACTATAGCACGCATTGTGTATTATCGTGCAATTTATACGCGAAAATGAGTTTTTACGTGCATTTGATACGCAGTTTTCGCGTGCATTTGATACACAGTTCATTTGCGTGTAATACACACGCACCCCGCAGCACTAATTCTACCCAAACGTATAATAAACACGCACCCCACACCACTACTAAACCTACCCTAAACAACACATGCGTATCCTATGCACGTAAAAACTCATTTTCGCGTATAAATTACACGATAAACACACTGTGTGCTATAGAGACGCATTTAGTGTGATCGGGTTGGGTTGAGGCAAAGATACCAAAATAAAAGAATTAAAGTGCAGCAGTCTGGTGTTTAAGAACAGAAAACAAAAATACTCAGATAAGATTAGATTAGAGACAGGGAACGGAACAACCAAACTCTATAAGGCGAAATCGGACCAAGAACTGAACAAAACACAGGTCTTAATCTTATCATATAAAAAATATAATTTATTGTTACTACTGTAAATCTATGGGATCTCCTTCAATGCTTTCAAAAACTTTACTTTTTAAAATAATATAGTTTCTGGCATGTTAAAATGATAAAAAATTATATAGTGTGTATGTAATTACACTTTACAGTAAAGTTCAGTTCATTAACATGCATTAGATATCAGAAACAAACAATGAAGAAAATGTTTTACAACATTTATCAATTTCATTGTTAATTCATGTTCGAACATGGTACAATAACTACACTAATAATATTCTCTCAAGTCATTTATTCATATTTAATTGAACTTTATTGGCCAAAAATATATTTGTATTTAACCTCAACATTAATAAATGCTGTTAAAGTACTGTTTGTTGTCATTTCTTAATCGTATTTTATTACAAATGTAACCTTAATGCAATGAAAAATACTGTATAACAGCATCAAGGTTTTGCAAGTTCTTTGGCAGTAGCCTATGTATCCATCCCAGATTTAATTCCCTCAGTCGTTGCAGCGATATGGCAATTATCTTCTAAAAGAGACAGAAAGAGAAAAGACACTTGAGCTTGTGAAATGTCAAGGTCACGGTCTCGTACTGCCTTTGCATGTTTAATCCAAACCTCCACATCATTTCCTTCAGCCGCCAACCCCAGCGTCACATGATCTCTCATCCGAGACCAAACTTAGACCCAATAAAAACTCGCTGGTTATACTTCAACTTCTAGAAATGCTTCCAACAGCATTCACTTCACATTTAGAGGTCTAATAAAA